CCTCTCCCTGGCTGCTGTTGGCCACTCCTCTCCCTTACTATTGTTCTGGGCCAGCACCCATGGGCTCCTAAGAGTGTTGGAGTGTTTGGTTTTGGCTGAATTGAGACCATCATGTATTCCCAGGAGGTGGATTCATCACTTTAGCTTGAGGTTCTCAAGGTTGTGCTCCCTGGGCTGAACTGGACTTTGTGGATCTGCCCACCCACTCATATCTGGCCAAGTAGATGAAGGTGGAAGCAGGTCAGAGTTGACCCTATGTCTTCCCCACTCTCTGGGCCACGTGCCACACCACGTTAGGCACAGTGACTCATGGGGACAGGCAGTTGGGAAATACTAGGCACAGGGCAGGTTCCAATCCCAGCTGGCCAGCGCTGTATGCTATCCCCAGGGTGGTGGCTGCCTCCCTCCACTTAGGTGGCAAAGTCCCAACTGTGAGCCAGTCCACAGTGTGGGTATGGGCATTTTCGGGGTCAACAGAATGTAACACATCTGAGTACCTTCTGGGTGTGGAGTCCTGGAGGAAGGATGGTTATTAAGCTGGGAGTGTTGTCACTGATCCTGGCCCTGCTGTCTCAGGTGAAGCAGGTGCCAACATTATTGAAGTGTCCAAGGAGGCCCGGAAGCGGTTCCTGGGCCCTCTACACCCTTCCTTCAACCTGGTGAAGACCATCCGTGGCTGTCTACTGAAGACCCTGCCTGCTGATTGCCATGAGCGTGCCAGTGGACGCCTAGGCATCTCCCTGACTCGTGTTTCAGATGGGGAGAATGTTATCATATCCCACTTTAGCTCCAAGGATGAGCTCATCCAGGTAGGCCCTGGAGAAACTGTGTTGGGGGTTATGGGATTAACTCAAGGCAGGGCTCTGCTACTGTCCCCTGTCTTGTTTTTCAGGCCAATGTCTGCAGCACTTTTATCCCAGTATACTGTGGCCTCATTCCTCCTACCCTCCAAGGAGTGGTAAGTATCCCTGCTTAGCCCTGCCCTGGAATGACAAGCATCATCTGCTGTCTGGGCTGTGGGATACAGGGGTGGAGGAGAAAGGCCAGCGGGACACCTCTCCCCTCTCCAGTCCCTCACTTCCCATGACTCAAGATGTGGGGAATCCCAGGGGAGATGCACACTTCCTGTAGCTGGTGCCCATCCCATTCCATGTGTCTGGCCATTTGCTGAGTGTTCAGTGGCCAATGCCTAGTGGGCAAAAGGCTCAAATGGAACAGATAGCACAACACCCAGCAGGCCCCTAACCACGTGACTGTGAATGTGTGTTCTTGCACAGCGCTATGTGGACGGCGGCATTTCAGACAACTTGCCACTCTATGAGCTGAAGAATACCATCACAGTGTCCCCGTTCTCAGGCGAGAGTGACATCTGCCCACAGGATAGCTCCACCAATATCCATGAGCTTCGTGTCACCAACACCAGCATCCAGTTTAATCTGCGCAATCTCTACCGCCTCTCAAAGGCTCTCTTCCCACCAGAGCCCATGGTGAGCCAGCACAGCTAGACAGCTAAGCACCAGGGGAGAGAGCTGCTGGTGACTTTCATGTGCATTGCATGGTTTACAGCACTTCAAGCCAGGACAGGTTATTGGTGGAAGTGGCTGTTACAGCAGGGATTGACTGCACCAGTCTGGGCTGATTTATGTATTCCTCTCATAGGTTCTCCGAGAGATGTGCAAGCAGGGCTACAGAGACGGACTTCGATTCCTTAGGAGGAATGGTGTGTAAGCAGCCCTGGGTTGGGAGAAGCTGGCTCTGCAATGCCCCCTGCTGGCCATAAACTCTGATGGCATTTCTGTCACCCACACACCCTCAACCCAGGCCTTCTGAACCAGCCCAACCCCTTGCTGGCGCTGCCCCCAGCTGTCCCCCAGGAAAAGGATGCAGAAGAAGCCACTGTGACTGAGGAGAGGACTGGAGAGGGGGACCAATTGCAGCTCCAAGGAAAAGATCGAATTCTAGAGCACCTGCCAGCCAGACTCAATGAAGGTGTGCCATGGGAAGGGAGGGCGGAGGAAGGGACAGGGTCCTTTGGAGAAGCTTGGCTAGCAGGTCTGAGAGGCTTCCACTTCCCTAATTGACTACCACCTCCTCACCTGCAGCCCTGCTGGAGGCCTGTGTGGAGCCTAAGGACTTGATGACCACCCTCTCCAACATGCTGCCAGTCCGCCTGGCGACTGCCATGATGGTGCCCTATACTCTGCCACTGGAGAGTGCAGTGTCCTTCACCATTCGGTGAGGGTGTGAAGGGGGATCTGGGGAGAATACATGAACATATCATACATACATCAGGGACAGAAGTGTAGGACCATCTGTGAGCCAGGAGCTGGTTGGGAGATTTGGTGAGGGTGGGTGTTCAATGTCTGGCAGGCGACCATCAGAACCCAGCCTGTTATTTCTGAGGTCATACTCGGGGCTCCCTTCCTAGCTTGTTGGAGTGGCTGCCTGATGTTCCTGAGGATATCCGGTGGATGAAAGAGCAGACAGGCAGCATTTGCCAGTATCTGGTGATGAGGGCCAAGAGGAAATTGGGTGATCATCTGCCCTCCAGGTGAGCTACCATGGCTGCCTATCCACCTGGGGCCTGGGACCTGGGACCTGGGACCTCCACTAAGCCTTCCTTTCCTCCGTGCTTCCCCACCTGCAGACTGTCTGAGCAAGTGGAACTTCGTCGAGCCCAGTCTCTGCCCTCTGTGCCACTGTCTTGTGCCACCTACAGTGAGGCACTGCCCAACTGGGTACGAAACAACCTATCCCTGGGGGATGCGCTGGCCAAGTGGGAGGAATGCCAGCGTCAGCTGCTGCTGGGTCTCTTCTGCACCAATGTGGCCTTCCCTCCAGATGCCTTGCGTATGTGCACACCTGCCAGCCCTGCCTCCACAGACCCCGCCACCCCACAGCATCCACCTGGCCTCCCACCGTGCTGAGAACCATCATTCCCCATTTCCCTGGCTACCAGCCAAGCTCCCAGTTGCTCTGCTCCACTAAGAGGAGCCCTGGGGCAGACCAAGTGCCTGTCCCTTGGCTTTCCCCCTTACGTGCTGTGGAATGAGGACAGGACCCTACACAGCTGGAAAGGGAATTTTTGATGTAAAACCGTTACCAGCTGCTCCGATGCTGCTCCTGGTGGGGAGGGATGAGGAGTAACCTCCCCTGGCTGGAGCCCACAGAGCCCTCCCCCTCCCCCTGTGCCTTACTCTCTTCCTCCTGCCCACCACCTTTTCAGTGCAGGGTCAGTCCTGAGAACTCTACAGCTGCTGCTTCTCTCAGCTTTTCAAGTTTCCTTGCAGAGTGTGTGAAGAATTATTTATTTTTGCCAAAGTAGATATAATAAAAGCCACAGCTCAGTTTCTGCCTTCTTCACTTCTGCCTGTTGCTCATGCCTCTGACTGAGGTCAGTGGACAGAACCATTTCTCAGATGACCCAGTGTCTCAACAGCTAATAGTCAGGCCTTAAAGAGTTGCTTTGAGACCTGGCTGCTGGGGACCCTCCCCTAGGGTCACCCTCTGGCAAGGACACACGTATGCTGCTCCGTTTGCCCTGAGGCCTGCTGATTGTCTCTTGGGCAGTGTTTCAAGTGCCAGTTGATATGTTTAGTACTGAGAACCTTAGTATAATAAAAACTAAAATGTTGGGCTGGAGTAGCTCATTGGTTGAGCATTTGTCCAGCATGCACCAGGCCGGGTAAAGTATTTACAAAGGTGTCACCCACACATCTGCTCCACATGGTGACACAGTGAGGGTGTGGATCAGGGCTGACTTCAGGGCTGGATCCCTGTGAAGGGTGAAGCTTCTGGAACGGACCAGGGAAGCTCAGTTCCTGGCCCACACTGGGAATCTTGCTCAGAACTTTGTTGTCACACTTCATTGCCAAGTGCGTGTGTACATGTGCCTTTTCTGTACTGTGACCATACCTGTTTCCTCCCAGAACCTTGGGAATGGTCTGAAGTACTGAGGGTACTGAGGCAAGTTGGTGAGGTCTTAACTCAAGGGGGCAGCTCACCATAGTTTCCTCCAAGTGTTCTCTGCTGAGATTTGTGTGCGTGTTGTACAGTCTTGGATGAAGGAGAACTGTGAGGGGTGAGCTTAGCTATCAATCTGTGGGGCTTGGCTTAGCCCTGCCTTCTGGCTCAGCACCCTCTTGCCCCTCCCAAAAGGTGCACAGTGGCTGCGGTTGCAGCCCCTAGCCAACAATAACGGTAGGTCTGGTTATGGGACCTGGGACAGCAGGACTGGGCGAGCCGGCCAGGCAGGTCCCTGGCCTAGGTGCCAGGGGCCGCCCCTCCTCTTGTCTCCAGGTCCTGCCCTATAGGGCCAGCCTGTTGTGATTCTACTTGAGAAGCACAGGGCCCCCCAGCACCTCTGCAGCCTGTGACAGCCAGGGCAGCTTTTCAGGTCAGTTTAGGGGCTTAGTGGGGGGCATAACCTTGGAAGCGGATGGGTTTCTTCCTAAGTAGGACTTTGACATCTCCTAGAGTTCTTCTAGGCTTAGGGGAATCCTAATCAGGTCTGTGCCCCAAAAGGAGTGCTAGGGGCAGACTGATGCTGAGGTGGTCTCACTATGTTCCCACACTCACTTCAGTATACAGGAATGCTGTTAACTTACATGTCTCTTCGCTAGCATTAAAACTTAGAAGACTCCAAACTGGAAAAGCATGGAGAAGAAAGTGTAGTCTCCCCAGCCCTGGATACAGCCACTGAAAGTATTTGTTCTATTTCCTGCTCGGCATTTTCCTACACACACTTCTTGGCACCATAAGTCTGGATATTCCGGGAGGGGTGGGGGTTGGTATCTGCACCTCCGCGGCCTTGATCCTGTCCTGGAAGGGTCTTGGGAGTGGGGGTGAGGGACACGACGTCAACATTGCTGCCCCCTGTGGCTCTCTGGGGAGAGCTAGCCATCCTGGGTCGGGCTGCCAAGATAAAAGAGGCGGGACAAAGCAACAGCAGCCCTCTGGTGGATCCACCCGGACGTGCTCTCTCGGGGTCTCCCAGCCTGCAAGGCCTCAAGGTTGTGGATCCGCGCCCCTCGCAGGCTGTCGGGGTCCGGGCAGGGGCGGGGCGCGCCGCGCGTTTCCGGGAGGAGCGGCCCGTCTGCGGCAGGTGCGGCGGCGCGGCTCGCAGGTAGGCATTGGCTCGCAGGTCCCGCGGCTGGGGTCCCAGCGCCGCACCTGCTGCCGGGCTTCCCTACCCTCAATCCCCGGCTTTGGTGGTCGCACCTTCGGACCGCTGTGTGGATCGGCGGCCACAAGCGTCAGTCTGGGACGGCTGTGATCCCGAGGTGTACCGCAGCTAGCCTAGACGTGTGTGGATGAGGTTTGTCTGTGGGTCCACCCGCTGCCCTTCCTCTGGACTCCCTGGAGCCTGGCCATGGTTCAGTTTCCGGCTGGGATGGACCTCCGGTCCTGTGGAACCCGGGAGCGGTTGGTGACTGTGCTTGGTTGAAGTTAGGGTAGCCGTCAAGGGGGCAATGACTCCAGGTTGCTCTGTCATGCTGCTTCCTCGTGTTTGCTTATTGGACTATCGTCCCTCTCCTCCTGGAATATGGTAAGGGGAAGATAACCCTAAGGACTGAGAAGTGAGATAGCCGGTCTGGGTTGGTGTCACTGTAGCTTTGGGAAATCTGGGGTTAGCACACTGGGGGACAGACAGGTGGCTCTAATTAGAGGTGGGATGTTCATTCCAGGAGGTGAAAGGGAAGCCCCAAGGGAAGAGAAAATGACTAGAGACTGTCCTAAACCAAGATGTGGGGGTGTTTCTTACAAAGGCTGTCCAGTGCCCAGGGCTGGGGCCTTGCACCTGCACCCTTAAGGCCTTATTGGCAGGTGGGAGGGGCTGATGGAGTTTACTCTCTGCTTGCCAGCTGTCAGAAGGCCAGGGTATCACAGGCTCAGTCCTGAGGCTAAGGACTTGGTCAGAAATGATTCAGCCTTCTTCCTTAAGCAGTCTCAGCTTGGGATCTCCCAAGTCCAGGATGTGGCAGACTCCTCACACTCAGGCCCTCTTTCACTACAAAACTTCTCTCCTGACTGCCAAGAGTCGGACACTTGTTTTTACAAGTCTTCTATAGTAAATTCACACTCTCACCTTCTTCTTCATTGTTTCTTTGGTTTTTAGAAACAAGGCTTCTCTGTGTAACAGACCTGTCCTGGAACTTACTTTATAGGCCATGCTGGCCTGGAACTTACAGAGATCTGCCTGTCTCTGCTTCCCGAGTGCTGGGATTAAGGCATGCCCCACTACATCTGGTTTCACTTTCTCTCTTTTTCTTTTCTTTTCTTTCTTTGCTTTTTTTTTTGTTTGTTTGTTTTTAGGTAGGATTTCACTATGTAGATTTACATGTCTTGGAATAAATATCTGCCTAACTTTGCCTCCAGAGTGCTGGGATGAAAAGTGTATGCCACCTCAGGACAGCTAGGACTGCTACACAGAAAAACCCTGTCTTCAAAAACAAAAACAAAGATAAATAAATAAATAAAATAAAAGTGTATACCACTATATCCAGTTAACCCTTTCTTGAACTGGCTGTGTCCAGGGATTTATGCTTTCCCCAAAATTTCTACTTCCTGAGATGGCTGGTCCTTGGTAGCAACTCTGGTCCTGAGTCTGCTTCATCCCATCCCAGTGGCCCTAGAGCATCCCTGTCCCAATGTCTTGCCTTCTGTACACTTTCCTACCTGGTACTAGGAGGTCCCAAGACCTCTATCTGTCTTTGCCCTCTGACACACCTTCATCCCTCCTCCTATTTCTTTTGACCCTCCCTTAGCTTCTCAGCACCTACTAGAGCCAAGGTTTGCTCCTATGGCCAGCCCTGGGCAGCCTGGGCCTGGGGAGGACCCAGAGGAAGAGGAGGCAAAGGGAATCTCAGCAGGCCATCGTGCAGAGGTGCTGCAGCAGGCCCAGGAGCTCTTTCTACTGTGTGACAAGGATGCTAAGGGCTTCATCACTAGGCAGGACTTGCAGGTGAGCCATAGTTCCAAGAGGCTGCCAGACCCAAGGGTGACCTTAGCTGCTTACCTTGGTATTTCTTGCCTGGCTAGGGTCTGCAGAGTGATCTTCCCCTAACGCCTGAGCAGCTGGAGGCTGTGTTTGAAAGTCTGGACCAGGCCCACACTGGCTTCCTCACAGCCCGGGAGTTCTGTCTAGGCCTGGGTGAGTAGGTCCCAGCTACCTGGAGACCTTATTCAGACCCCTGTGAGACTCTACATAGCCTGTGCCTTTCACAACTACCCAGGCGTTCCGGTGTCTACAAGCAGTCACTTTGTGAACTACACTACCCACCCCCAGCTACTGTGCAGTGTATGGTCTGCCCTCCCCCAATCCCTTCTCCTCTGCCAACCCAGGTGGGGTGGGGGAGCTGGCTGTCATTTCCCATTCCCAGGCCAATAGAACCAGAACAAGGAAGAAAAACAGGAAACTGGGCCCTGACAGAGGGCAGGCTGTGTTGTGTGTGGCTGGGGGAGTTGGGTAGGTCCGGAGTGTTAACCCACAGTACTGGTCATCTCTCCTCCCATGTCTACAGGGAAGTTTGTGGGGGTGGAGTCGACCCACGGTGGGTCCTCCTTGAGGACTCCTGAGGAAACCTTTGAGTCAAGCACAGGGGGCTCTCTGGAGGAGGACAACGATGTTGAGACATTCTGCACTTCCTTAGAGAAGCTGGGAGTGGCCCGGGTCCTGGGCGAGTGAGTTGATGCTAGGCCCACTCCCTTTTCGCGCCTGTCCCCTCTCCTCTGCATGCTCTGTCCACCTTGACCTCCTGGCTGTTGCCCACAGAATCCCTAGGCCGGCCCAGTCCATCCTTTGTCAGTTGTGGTAGTCTGGGAGAGAGCCCTGGCGTGATTTTCCTCAGGATTTGCATTTCAGGAGGCCATAGCTCTGTGGGGCAGGGCGCCACCAGACACCTAGTTACTAAGCAGGCATGAGAGCACAATCCATAGGGATGAGCAGTGCACGGCCAGTTCTGGGCCGCTGGGTTCTCTAGGGGGTTCACCTTCCGCAAAGGGGACACACCTCCAGCACCTGCCAGCTCGTCTATATTCACATCCTCTAGGCAATGGGCTGTGAGAACACTCTGGGTCCGACTGCAGCGCGAGCGACCCGAGCTGTTGGGCTCTCTGGAGGAAGTTTTGATGCGCGCATCAGCCTGCCTGGAGGCGGCGGCCCGGGAACGCGACGGTTTGGAGCAGGCACTGCGGCGGTGAGGATTGGCCTGGCTAGGCTTGGGGTCTAATGAGGGGACAGAAAGGAAGCTGGTAAATGCTCATGCCTGTGATATCCCGGTTCCTCGAAGGCGGGAGAGTGAGCACGAGAGGGAGGTGCGCGGACTCTACGAAGAGCTGGAGCAGCATTTCGGGGAGCAGCGACACAACGGCCAGAGCCAGGTGGGCCCACGAATGCCACGCCCAGCCTCTCTGGCTTCTCTGGCTCCGCCTTCCCCGAACTTGTCCCGCCCCAGACTCACCTCCGAGAGTCCAAGCCGCCCCAAGTCCAGGGAACTCTGCTTTGCCTCCGCAAGTGCCCCTTCCCGCGCTCTCCACCCCTTTGCTCCCCACCCTTGCCTCTCCGCCTGCCTCCTCTGAGCCAGGAGCGAAGGCTCTAGTGCAGCTGTACATCCCAGAAACTGCTCCGGAAGGAACAGAGGGGCCACCTGGAGCTGGAACTGCAGACCCGCGAGCAGGAGCTGGAGCGCGCAGGCCTGCGGCAGCGGGAAGTAAGCCTTAATCACTTCACGCCCATATCCTCGCACAGACTCACCTTCTTTGGGGTTCCCTGTGCCTCGGAGGGGTCACCTTGGCACTGGGGGGTACGGGTGGGGAGCGTGGTTCGCCAGCCCGCATCCCACCATTCCCTAGCTGGAACAGCAGCTGCTGGCCCGGACTGCGGAACAGCTAGAGGCACAGGCCCAGCACAGCCAGCTGCGTAGGGCCTATGAGGTGATAAGAGCACAGCTGGATCAGGCGCAGGAGCAGCTCAGCCGACTGGAGGGTGAAGCACAGGGTCGTCAGGAGCAAACCCAAAGGTATGGTGAGGCGCCTGTGGACAGGCTAGAGGGTCCCTTCCCCCACCTTGCATCTGGATCACCTTCTACCTACAGAGATGTTGTTGCTGTCTCCAGGAACATGCAGAAGGAGAAACTCAGTCTCCTAAGGCAGCTGGAGTTGCTGAGGTGGGTCAGGCCTACCTGGGCTGTGTGGAGAAGTGGTTTCAAGTTCCAGAATGGTCTTGGCTCTTACCCATTTTGCTGGAAGTCCTTATGTCTGCCCTATAGCCTTCATGCTGCAGTCTCTGTAGTCCTATGGAGAGCCAGCCCATCTTCCCCACCCACTGATTCCTCTAGATCTTAATTAACCTCTCAGTCTCAAACTCTTCTTCTCTAGGGAGCTAAATCTGCGGCTTCGAGATGAGAGAGATGCCTGTGAGACTAAGCTGCTGGGCAGTAGCCACAGGAAGGCTCTAACTATTGCCCACAAGCCGGGACCCACCAACTGCTGCTGCTGCTGTGGCTGGGCTCGGCCCCCTAGACGAGGCTCTGGCCATCTTCCTAGTGCCCGATGACCAGCCTCAAATGACTCACTTCCTTATCTAGAAGGGGACTGGTTGTAGGTGGCCGTTGCCTGCTAGGTATGTGGCTCTAGCCAGAAAGCATCACCTGCCAGAAAGAACTGAGCTCTGAATGGCCAAAGTCTCCATCCTGTCTTCATTTCTGTTTAGCTGACCAATAAAGGCCACTGGCCACTGTGCACTCCTTGCCTTTTGTATGTCTCAGAGCCACAATGCATTTGTGGTTCATGCTTGGTATCCATGACACAAGGTGTTATGTAGATTCACAGGTACACACTAGCCTGCCATTCCTGTGTGTTCCTGTGTGCTAGTGTATGTTCTGTGATTCTGGCCATTCACCAAGCCCTCCCTTATCGTCCATCACAGGACTCAGGTTTCAACAAGTGTCCACTTCCATACTAGTCCTCATGTGGAAAGGGAGTCCTGCCCCTCACTTCTGTGTTCAGCTACCTCTCGGGCCCTGGTCCTTACTCCCTCATCGTCTGACACCATTCCTAGACAGACCATATGCCCTCTAGACTGGGTACCTCTTGCAGGGCCCTCATGTGTCTGTGGGTCTCCCGGCACACTGGCACACTGTACCTGGAGCTTCCCCTCTGGGATTTCCTGAGCTGCGCTAGAACCTGCAGCCTCTGAGTGGTTCCCCCGACTTAGACTGGAGGAGGATCTGGTCTTGGTCTCAGTTCTGGGCTCTGCTGGTCTAGGTGCCACCTTTCCCACCTCTCCATTCACCACCTGGGTTCTGCTTCCAGCCTAGCTCCTCTGTCTCTGAGTGATTGGGTTGTCTTGCTGATCACTTGTGCCCTCAGGTTAACTTTCCGGCCCCACAGACTGGGAAGATGTGCCCGGGTCTTGCGGTGCGCGCGGTCTTCTGTGCTCCCTAGCACCAAACCAGTTGGGACTTGCCCAGCCCAGGCCGGCCGTGGGCGGGGCTGCGCCCGGGGCGGGGTCGCGCGTGGGGCGTGTCCTTGCAGGCCCCGGGCCGAGCATTCTCAGCACTCGGAGCGCTTACTCCTACAGCCGCCCGCCGGGGTTGGTACTACAAAGTGTGGTTGGTAAGTGCTCCGCAGAGCCAGGCCGCAGGGTGTCGGGAGCAGTATCCTGAGTGCCTTGTGCCCTGGTGTCCTTAGTCCTCAACGCTGGCCTCGGGGACGCCCAGGAGGCAGCGCCGGTAGGACAGGAATACAGGCTTCTTTCCGGAAGATCGACACCGGGGCGGGAGGGTAGGAGCAGAGTGGGGGAGGGAGAGAGCCTCCGATGTTCTTGGACAGGCCTGGAGGTCTCTTTCTTGCAGAAACCGAGGAAGTCAAAATCTGATCACCCTATTCATTGTCTCTGAACACCGGTTCCCTCCCCTGAGACCGCAGGTCCGCCTATTGGCACGGGGGGAGTGGAGGGACGGGCAGGAGCGGTGGTGACTTCATCTCGGTGACGCGGGGATTCCTCGCCTAGCCGCCTTCAGTTCCTAGTCCCCTCGGTGGGGCGAGTGGCTGAGCGCCATCGAGGGCACAGGAGAGGTCCAGGGGCTGAGTGTAGGGCGGCTGTGTCCGGGCCGCAGGAGCTATTTCTGGCTGATTGTGACTCCTACGCCAGCCATTTCTCAGGAAATTAACATTCAGTCTGCTGGTTGTCCCTTGGCTTAGGTTGCTGGATGTGTTCAGAAGCAGCACCGCATAGGTTCTCAGCTTTTAGAGCCTGGCCCCGAGGCTTGCATTGTGGTTGGGCCTTAGTTTGTGTCATGCCCCTCCTTCAGTGAGGCAGCGTGTATTTGGATCCTATTTCCAAATGGAGGTCTGTAATCTCCAGGAGTGGTCAGTTGATGCCTTCCTCCTCTCCCCGGTCCAGTCTGCAGTCGATGCTGTTTGGTGGGGGGAGGGACAGTAATGGTCTGAAGGGTGGGGCCCCTGGAGAAGGCATTTGGTCCCTCCCTAGTTCAAGCTGGCCAGCAATGTCCTCTGCCCTACCCTGGTCCAGAAGAAAATAGACCTGACTGTTATGCCTGCTTCTAGATCTGGTGGCTCTGGAAATCATTCTGACCATTGCTTCAGCCACCATAGGAGGAGTGTCAAGACCCCACCTGCCAGGTAAAGGGCAGACTGACTTTTGACCTGTACCTTCTGGTCCTTCTGACTTATAGAGGTGAGTTGTTGGTGCTTGGGCAGAGCCCGCAGGTGGCATGTGAGAAGTCCTGCACACATGCCTGTCTAGAAACCGGTCCTGGGGTGTTCCACTGAGGTTTGTCCTGCAGACTATCCACAGTGCAGACATGAGTGTGTCTAGGGCAGGATGTGCCTAGGAAACCTTTGAGGGAATGGCACATCTACATCTATGGAACCGAGGGCCTCCTCCTTCAGCCTGTAGGGGAGCTGATTGTGCAGGCTCCACCTACTGGCACCTCTATTGTCCCTGTCCTGGATGAGAGCAGAGGTTGCTCACAGAGCCCTCACTGTCTACCTGAACTTCCTGCTTCTCTGCCACATTTGGGGTATTAGTACTAAACAGCCTGTGATGTGGGGTCAGGGAATGCTGTCCGGGTGGCAATCCACAGGAATGCATCCTGTAGCCTTTCCCCCATTGCCTGCTAGCAGGAGTGAGTCAGCAGTGGTTGGGGGTCCTTACATGACAATTCAATATGGGTGTCTGGCTATACAAAGAGGAGTGATCAGTTGTCCAGGAAGTGACTCATATGGTTCCTGGGAAGACTCCTCTTAAGGCAGACAGCTGGCTGAGCTCCAAACTCTGGAAATATCTAGGGATTGTTGCATACCCTCCTGTTTGTTCCCATTGGTTTCCTGCTAGTTGGAGGCCTGGTGCTTTAGGCCATCTGACCTCCACATTTCTGCAGGCCCAGCATGGGTGAATTCAATGAGAAGAAGGCAACATGTGGCACGGTCTGCCTCAAGTATCTGCTGTTCACCTACAACTGCTGCTTCTGGGTGAGAAGTGATTCTCCCTACATCCCTGTTCTTCCTTATCTTGGAGGCCTGGCCTAAGGGCTTGGTCCCAGCTTCCAGACCCAGGCCAGATGTGGTGACCAGTACATACTTTCTGCAGCTGGCCGGCTTGGCTGTCATGGCAGTGGGCATTTGGACACTGGCCCTCAAGAGTGACTACATTAGTCTGCTGGCTTCAAACACCTACCTAGCCACAGCCTACATCTTAGTGGTGGCTGGTGTTGTTGTCATGGTGACTGGAGTCCTGGGCTGCTGTGCCACTTTCAAGGAGCGACGGAACCTGTTACGCTTGGTCAGCAGAGCCTGGTGGCACATGTGGGAGGCCATGGGGCTGGGGATGCCTGGCATGGGTTTCTCAGGGGCTTCTGGTACTGTTTCTGGGGCTTGACTCTTGTAAAGTAGGTTACTACAGGCTGTTCCTGTTGAACTCACTGGGGCATCCTCCAACTGGACCACTGAGGGCATACACCAGATCAGATTAGCAGCCCCAGCCTATAGCTAATTGGATTCTTCCTGCTTGGCCTCTTGGGTTGGGACTTGCTTTGTGGTGCTCTGGCACTAGGAACCCCAACTCACTGGGTCCCTGCTTCCTAGTACTTCATCCTGCTCTTCATCATCTTCCTCCTGGAGATCATTGCTGGCATCCTGGCCTACGTCTACTACCAGCAGGTAAGGGCCTGAACTGGACATAGGGTATGTCCAGAACAGGTGTACACATAGGCAGGTAGACTTATGGGGAGGCAGATATGCATAGGGTTGAAAGTGTCACTCATTCCAGGCTGGCCTTGTGCTTGCCTGCTTGGTGACTCTTCTAAGTCTTGTTAGTCCCACTGGGGGTCCTAGATTTGCCCTTGGGGGTCTTAGACTTTGATCCTACCCACAGCTGAACACAGAGCTCAAGGAGAATCTCAAGGACACCATGACCAAGAAATACCACCAGTCAGGCCAGGAGGGTGTGACCAGTGCTGTAGATAAGCTACAGCAAGAGGTGGGTGTCCCCTGAGAAACCCATGCCAGGCATCGCCAGCCCCATGCTCCTACTTGTGCCCCTCCACTTTCCCAGCATGGGGCTGTGTGCTGGTAGGCTGGCTGCAGGGCTCAGCCACCACATACCCCTTGTAGTTCCGCTGTTGTGGCAGCAACAGCTCTCAAGACTGGCGAGACAGTGAGTGGATCCGCTCTGGTGAGGCAGACAACCGCGTGGTTCCTGACAGCTGCTGCAAGACTGTGGTACCGGGCTGTGGTAGGCGGGACCATGCCTCCAACATCTATAAAGTGGAGGTAGGTGGGTGCTCAGCAAGGGGCTAGACTGATTGGGTGGCAGGTCTTAGGGCAGCCTGGTCTAATAGGGATGCATGTGGGAGCCAGCAAGGTCCACCATCACTCTCTTCCCACTAGGGTGGCTGTATCAGTAAGCTGGAGACCTTCATTCAGGAGCACCTGCGGGTCATCGGGGCTGTGGGCCTTGGCATCGCCTGTGTGCAGGTGCGGAAACATAAGAGGTGACTAGGTGGGAACACTGGGGTGGCTGGTGTCCCACATCCCTGTTTACACCAGCCTGGTTCCATGCAGGTCTTCGGCATGATCTTCACCTGCTGCTTATATAGAAGCCTCAAGTTGGAGCACTACTGACCACAGTGGCAGGCCAGGTTGCTAGCCTTGCACTATGCCCCACCCCACTACAAAGTACTACTGAGTTAGACTGCTGACTGCCAGAGAGGTAGCTATCCTTATGCCATCACGGCCACCACTGGCAACCCCACCTCAGGGGTAGCTTCAAGTGCCTTTCACTGCATACCAAAGTCCCAAGGCTTGAGGCAGTATACTTGCCCCAGGATAAGAGGGGGCAGGTATGCCAGTGTTGGGCTAGGCCTAGCTGGTAGAATAGGGTTTAGATTATTTGACAAAAGTGCCTCTTGCCCACAGACTACTTTCCTTTGGGTAGCTGTGATTTGCATTAAGTGCGGGGAGAACTTGGGTTTACCACCTGCATGGTGGGTAGAAGCAGGTGAGAAGGGCCATTCTGGGTGGGCTAGGTACCTTTCATGCCTGCTGCTGGAAACCCTCACATCTGCTTGCCCCAAACCAATGGGACAAACTGAGGGGAAATCCAACGCCACTCACTGTATATGCCGTCCTCTCCACCCAGGCCTCTCTTGCTCCTAACAGTGTCAGCCCTGGCTTTTCCCTACTTCTGTTAACACTATGCATATGCCCCATGTTCCTGTAT